TAATAATATTGTATTGTATATTTCAAGATAGCCAAAAAAAGAAGAATGTTATAACCACAAAGAAATAATCAATGCTTAGGTAACAGGGATGCTAACTATTCTGACTGGATGGTTATACAATGTATTCATATATCAAAACAACAAACTGTACCCCATAAAAATGTACAATAAATTAATAAGTAACTGGAGAAGGAAGGTATACCATAGGTCAGAAACTCAGATCCACATTAAGAAAGGAAGAGCACTGGAGAGGGAATAAGGGGAGGTAAAATAAAAACTTTCATTTTTCATATTCTTAATTGATCTAACAGATAACACTTTGTTCAAAATAACAATAGCAACAATGTATGTGATTGTATATGCTTAGTGTGTATTTTGTGTGTGTGCACACACATATATACACACACACATATATAAAGGGAATGAATGCTAGCAATGATACAAGAGACGGAAGGGGTTATTTTGTTAATATAAGGTACCTGTACTGCCCACAAAACAATATAGTGATAGGGCCAACCCCGTGGCTCACTCGGGAGAGTGTGGCGCTGGGAGCGCAGCGGCGCTCCCGCTGCGGGTTCGGATCCTACATACGGATGGCCAGTGTGCTCACTGGCTGAGCACGGTGCAGGTGACACCAAGCCAAGGGTTGCGATCCCCTTACCAGTCACACACACACAAAAAAGACAAAATAAATAAATAAATAAATAACAGTATAGTGATATTTGAAAATAGGCTTGGATTAGCCATGAAAGTATATTGCAAACTCTAGGACAACCACTAAAAAAAGTTTTAAAAACATTCTAATATGCTAAGAAAGGAGAGAAAATGGAATGATATAAAGTGCTCAATTAAAACCACAAAAGGCAGAAAAAGAGTGGAAGGAAAAATAGGAACAAAGAACAAGGGCAACAAATAGAAAATAGTAACAAATATGGTACAGAGTAACCTAACTATATCAATAATCACTCTGAATGTCAATAGTCTAAATGTACCAATTAAATGAGACTGTCAGAATGGATTAAAAAAACCAAGATCCAGGGCCGGCCCGGTGGCGCACTGGATAAGTGCGCCGCTTGGGAAGCGTGGCGGCGCTCCCGCCCGAGGGTTCGGATCCCACATGCAGACCGGTTCCCGCTCACTGGCTGAGCGAGGCGCGGGAGCAACACCGAGGGTTGCGGTCCCGTTGCCGGTCCCCGGTCTGGTACGGGGGCAACACTGAGGGTTGCGATCCGTTGCCGGACACAGAAAAAGACAAAA